TCACATATATATACAAAAAAAATATATATATATATATATATATATATATAAATAAAATAATTATATATATATATAAATAAAATAATTATATATATATAAAATAATGTATATGTATATGACAGTTCAAGGAACCAGATCTAAACATTTCTTAAGTCAAGTTTGATTTGGCTTCTTTAGAACTACTGCTGTACTCTTTAGGGAATGCCGCATAGCACTGTAGTTTTAATACATGCAGATCATAATAACCCCAATTAAACACAGCTTTTTCTAAATGGAGGATTTTTCTTTTAAATTCTGGTGCTGTGAAAAAATAAAATTCATACCAGATATTTTTAAAAAGAAGATTCATGTAGTTTCTGTTTTGTTTTTGTTTTTGTTATTGTTGGCTGGCTGGTACAAGGGTCTGAACACTTGGCCTTGTTTTAACACCACGGTCTAACCAACTGAGCTAATTGGTCAGCCTTCATATAGATTTTTAAACAGGCGTTTGTGTGTTATTAGCTTACATATAGGACGAGGTAATCTCATTGTTAGAAAAAAATATGCCCAGGCTCCCTCTTGGCTGATGTATTTATTATTTTTTTTTCCCACAATGACCCTGGTTCTTAATGGGGCCACCAGAATTATAGTTTCTTGTCTTTCCTTAGCCCGTGCTCCTTGGTCTGCTGTGATATTTATGTTGAGTGGACCCTCTTTATGGCTGTCTAGTCTGAACCCCTCTTAGCATTTAACTGTGACATCTTGGAAGCTAGAGAGAAGAAAAGTAGGATTTCTTTTTTAACACTTTGAAATTATTATGGTTTAATAATTTCTCCAGAGCAAACAAATAAGCATGCTCAACAAAACAAAACAAAACAAAATACAAATGTACGTCAATTAGTGTTTCAGTGTCTCTATTCTACTTGCAAGAAAATGATGCAAACCTCCTAAGGAATTATGAGGCCTTAGAAGTCAACTTCATGGGAAAAGGTAAAAGTACTTCTTTCACCCCAAGAAAAAGAAAAGCAAAAGGGCAGGCCCAATAGAAAAGCCACCCCTTAAATAAACAAACTGTAAAAAGCTGGAAAATGAAAAGCAACATCCTGTTTGGAAACTGAACTTTTGTCCTTGAACTTGTGTTGGCACCAAGCCTTGAGCACAGTGAACTCCATAGTTATTTGCTGGGGCAAATGAATGAAAGAAGGAAATACGTGTAACTCCCCAGCACCCAGGAAGTGGTTTCTCTTGCCTCTCTGAGTGCTTCCTTTCCTTGCTCTCCTGTTCACACACTAATTCTGGGACGGGCTGAACATCAAGATGAGGGCCCTTAAACGTTCTTTCTTAGCGTAAATCCACTCAGATCTGCATTTGCCCTATAGGGAGTGCTAAGGTCAGAGAGTAAATGGCTGTAAGGGACCCTTTTAAAATGAACATTTTCCTCATTGAACTAGCTGGGATTCTTTAATCATGTAGAAATCAAACCAACTTTATAATTTTACTTCAAATTTTTTTTCTTGTGATGGTTAAAGAAAAAAAAAAAAAAACCCACCAAAACCCTATACGTTGCTTAAAGGAGTTTCCTTCATTGTTAGGAAGTCTGGGTTAAGTTGAAATGCCTGTTTTAACTTTTTTCTGCTCTCATATACCAAACACTTTGTATTTCTCTTGTAGAGCCCTGATTTTAAATCTTGAGACTAAACAGGTTTGCTGCCCATCTGTGAGTTCAAACACATCACTTATTTTCTGTTCCAGATAAAGTGATGTGGTTTTAGCTTTGCTCCAAGTGTTAACATTATCTTGTTCAGTAGCAGTTGTGGAAGAGGGGTCAAAGGCTTGAGTAAACCTGGAGCAATCCTACAGAACATAGAGCTCTATGGGATGACGACAGGCCTGTGAGCATTTGATTTTTTCTTATTTTGTAAGTATCAAACTATTTAGGTTTTGCTTTACCAGTAAAATGTCCTTAGCAGAATAGATTTTAAGTGTGGATTATAGATCTTGATATTGAATCCGTCAGTGATTCTTTCAAGAGAAATACATCTATTTTACCTAAAGCAACCTAAGATATATTAATTATGGAATTGTGTTGGGTGAGTTTTTAAGAAATATTTTCTAAATTCTTGACACAGTTGTGAAGGATAATTTTTTGATCTGCAGTGTTGAGCAGCAAATCCAGATTTACAAGTCATCTGTAACTTTTCTGGCAGGGCATTTGCCAAATGGAGTATAGGATCCAACAGAGTTTTCTTAGAAAGGGTGTCACTGTTCAATGAAGGAAGCAGGACCAGAAGCATCTGCATGAAAGCTGGTGAGACCTGTTTCCCGATGCTCTGCAGCTAGGGTGCTGGTGATTGGCTGGGCAGTGGGGAAGCAGGTTTTAACAACAGGTAATCCTTCCAGATCGCTGTATTTTGGGAAGAAGGATACAGCTATTGTCTGCTACATCCCGAGGTTAGCCTTCTGCTTAAAGTCTCAGAATGTGCAAATGCCAGCTTCTGGAAAGCAAGCATCACCATGTACCAAGTGCTTTCCAAAATATCACATTCATGAACTTAATAGTGTGGTCAGAATTTGTGTAAATATGTCTCCTAAATGTCTTTGGAGAGATGTGATTTATTTTTCATATTTTCAAAATGCATTCCATTTCAAATAAAGTATTTATTGAGATGACCCACCTGCAGACCTTCTGAAGGCCTCATTCACTGGGCACTATGAATACACCATGTGTTTCTGTGGGACAAAGATTCTAAAGGGCTTAGCTGTTGAAAAGGCCATGACCATTCTGGGAAGAAAAAACATCATTTTTGAGGTTGGAAATTCATTTTAAAAAATTAACTGGGAATTTTGAATATAGAAATTCACTGAGATGTTTTGGTGAAATAATTAGCTTTCAGAATGCTCATGAATTTGAGTTGAATTTTCCAAAGATCTCCGTAGGATGAGAAATGGTCCCTAGTGAATTAGCTTGAAGGCAATGCCCTCTTGAGTCTGAGAGAGATTTTTGAGGTTGGAAATTCATTTTAAAAAATTAACTGGGAATTTTGAATATAGAAATTCACTGAGATGTTTTGGTGAAATAATTAGCTTTCAGAATGCTCATGAATTTGAGTTGAATTTTCCAAAGATCTCCGTAGGATGAGAAATGGTCCCTAGTGAATTAGCTTGAAGGCAATGCCCTCTTGAGTCTGAAAGAGAGAGAGAGAGTCTAGTCCTCTTAGGTCCCTTGGGAGGGTGAGGCCTTGACTCTAAGAGAATCATCTTCAAATAGGTATTTATAAAGCTTTCTGTTTTGTTTGGAAAGCAGAAGAGGGATTTGATTCTTTAAAGAAAAATAGCATAACTTTATTCTTACAATCTCCATTGACATCTAAAAACCTTTAAATCTCAAAAGACTTTAAAAAAAAGAGTAATAAAGCTGTTAATGTAAGACTATGCTGGGGTTTAAAAAATTGCCTTCAAATTTCCTATTTTAAAGAAGAAATGAAATCTAAGAAGATCAATTACTGCTGTTGTGTGGGGAGTTCAGGATACTGTGTGAAATAAATGTATATAGTAGGTGGTAAAACAGGGTTGGTAACAATCAGAATTTGAGAGTCATTAGCACATGGGTCCAAGTCCCAGTTCTACCACTTATTAGCTGTGTAGATCTTGATTTACTTAACTTCTTGGAAACTCCACTTCCTTCTCTGTAAAATGGAATTAATAAAGGTACTTATCTTAGGATTATTGAGGCGATTTAATAAGTTAGTACACATAAAAGTGCTTAGAACAGTGGCCAGCATTGCTATGAAAGGAAGCTCCCTGCATTTTAGGACAGATAAACAGGCTTGGAATCATTGTAGCCATATGAATATATAACATAAGGCATTTTGAAGCTATGAATTGAAGCTAACATCTCAGCACTTCTTTTTAAATGGTAAGAACAGTATGATGACAACATCCTTGTATTCAACTTTGAAAGAAGAGAAAAATACATTACTTATAGTGTTACCACTTTAATGACTATTTTCATTTGCTTATTACTTCCCAGTCTTGGTCCACATGCTCATGTATTTTAAGTTATTTACAATAATAACAATCAAAATACTCATGCGTAGCTGCAGTGCTCTGCCCAGATTGCTACTTCAGGGTGGAGAGGGTGGGTACTCAGTCTCCAGATATGAGAGTGTTGGTGGCTGTCATGCTCTCAGCGAGTCCTTCACCTGAAATTGTCCTCAGTCAGAACCATCTTGCCATCAAACACACCCCATCCTTGGAGTAGCCCACATCCAGTGACTGGTCTGTGGGGAATGGATAAAGGCCAGGCCCTGTTGTCTTGAATTAGGACAACTGTAAAGCTCCATCCCAGCTCCAGAGCTCCCTGTGGAATTGGCTGAGGCCTCTTTCAACAATGAGTTGGCATTGTAGTTCAACTCTCCCTCTGCACAGTCCTGTTTCCCTTATGCCCTCACTGGTGAGCTTCTCAAGAACACTTGGGGGTGGGCGTCCCTTCCCTTCCTCCAACCTCCCGCAGTCAAATCCTGTCTGTGGATTCCCTGAGATACAGGGTGTCTTGTCTACGTGAGATGCATGGTTGTAGACAGGTTTCTGTGTGAAGGTTCTGTAGGAAGGCTGGTGGTGTTGAGATGGGAGCATATAGCATAATGGTTTAGCCTAGGCTTTGGAATAGTGGCTCTCAACCTGCACAAAATTTTTCCCCCAGAAGACATTTGGTGATGTTTGGAGACATTTTTGGAGACAAAGGTCTACTCTGTTACTCCTTGATACAGAGTTTTCACAGCTGGTGGGTAGAGGCCAGAGATGTTGCTAAATATCCTACAATGCTCAGGAGAGCCTCCATGACACACAAGAATTATACAGCCTAAAATATTAATCATGCCAAGGCTTTATATGATGATAGTTTTGTACTTATTAGCTGGGTTTCCTTGGGCAAGTGATTTAGCTTATTTTAGCCACAGTTTCATGGCAGACAATGCTAGTATCTGTCTCATGGAGTTGTGAAACCAAAATTAGATAATCGACATAAAGGGCTGTAACATAGTAAGCATTCAATAAATGGTAGCTGTCAGTCTCATTATTATTGTTTAAAGTCATAATCTTAATGACAGTGTAATGTCCCATTGAGCTGATGTATTGTTTTATTCATTTGCCTATTTCCGTCTAGTGAGTTTCTGTTTTTATGCTGTTATCAATACTGCTGCAGTAAATATCTTAGGTTTATATCATATTGAAAAGAGCATGGACTGGGATTCTAGTTCTGACTCTGCTTAGTGATGTGACATTAGGCAGCTCACTTAATCTCTCTGAGCCTTTGCCCATTTGAAAGTGGGAATAACAGCCCTGCCCGTGGGGAGTTATTATGAACATTACTATGAAGTGGCAGTGAAATCTACATGAGTTCAAGTCCCAGAGCCACCAGTTACCCACCTTACTTACAATAAAGCGTTATGTAAATGAGAACAGAATTATTATCGATACCATTTTAAGAGGAATTAGATATTATATATTCATACACATATGTGTATTCCAATCTAAATAATTTGGTTTGGGGCCGGCCCGGTGGCGCACTGGATAAGTGCACCGCTTGGGAAGTGCGGCAGTGCTCCCGCCCGAGAGTTCGGATCCCACATGCAGACCGGTTCCCGCTCACTGGCTGAGTGAGGCGCGGGAGCAACACCGAGGGTTGCAATCCCGTTGCCGGTCCCCGGTCCGGTACGGGGGCAACACTGAGGGTTGCAATCCGTTGCCGGACACGGAAAAAGACAAAAGACAAAAAAAAAAAAAAAGAATGAAAGTCACTGAAAAAAAAATAAATAAATAAAAATAAATAAATAAATAATTTGGTTTTAAGAAAAAGGATATTGTTGCAACTAAAAATATAGCATCAAGTAATTCCTAGTTGTTTGTAGAATTTGAGCCAAATTTATATTTATGTTAAAGTGGAAGGAATTGTATGAACACAACACTGCAACTGTCCAGAAATATTGACATAGGAAAACCTGAATAATGAACTCACTGGTCATATGAATCTATTCAGCAAAATATTCTTACTAACTTTGTTTCTTTCACAGAGACTTGGTTGGAAACCGTTCCCCACCACACAGAAAGACCACAGTCAAACAAATGTCATAGTGTGAATGTTCTAGAGCTCTAGCCTTCCTTGCCAACAAAGTGAATTTGGTTGTCAAAGATGGCGCTTGTGGGGGCCAGAGGGCTTTGCAAATTTAGATGATCTGGGATGGACTGTTGCTGTAGTTAGGTCTCATTGGTTTGAGGGTTGTTCAGAATCTGATTTTATCTTGGAGGGATTGTTAGAACCTGAAGACGGAGAGATCCACTTTGTTACCCCTTGACACAGTCAGAATTAACTGCTTCTGAGAAAGAGTGGATGTGAGGGTGCATTGCTCCCTGCTAGGACATTCACCTGAAGCATTTGATGTTTAGTTAGACTCTGGAAATGAAAATTTGAAAAGCAGTCCATGTGGTTACGTTATACACTCTCAAGCCCTGCCAAAGTCATTTATAATAGAGCGAGCAAACACTTACTGCTGTCCTGTAATACAACGTATCCTGTGCTTCCAAAGCAACTGATAAATGTGTATTCAACTACTGCACAGACAGAAACAGGAAATGACTCTTGAGGAGTTTCAAAGTTTTAATTATGTCACTGTCCTCTGGCTTTCTCCTGAAGCTGACAGTTCATCCAGTTCAGTTCCTATGAAAGCCGACACTTCAGTTATTTCGCAAGTATTCTGAACTTTGCCGTAGCAAACACTAACCACTAGCGTGGCTTATCCCGTCAGCACTGACTCATCACCTCAGAACTGCAGACCAGCTTTGTGACTAATCACAGCCAAAGAAGCCAAACTTGTAACCGTTTTAGGCACATTCTCTCTGTCTCTCTTTTTTTTTAGCTGCTAAAGAAGTGTTCATTTCCACAAAGCTTGGCTGCAGTTGGTAAATACCTGCCTTTAATGATCCTTCCAAGTAACTCCAAATACACCCATAGTGTGTGTGTGCTGCCTTTAATGATCCTTCCAAGTAACTCCAAATACACCCATTGTGTGTGTGTGTGTGTGTGTGTGTGTGTGTGTTGTCATTTTAACTGCTAGTAACTTTCATGGTCCGTGAAGGTGGTTTGGTCAGTTTTTTGGTGTGGAACCTGACATCTAAGGGTTTGAAACAGCACTGGACAGATCTAGCTTCCTCAGAGCGTTGAGCTTCCTGCTTTGAGGGTTGGTCCTACCCTGCCTGAACACCTATTACAAAGCAGTGATCTGAGATGGTGCCAGGTCCCTTTGTCATTTCCTCTTGCTGCATTTCAATATCACTGAGGAGGGAAGGGCTTTGGTCTCAGTGGGAGAACAACTCAGTGATTTACTCTTTTCAGTTTCAGAAAAGGAGACTCTTCAGGTAAATATTAGTGTATGGATTGCATTTGCAAGCATGAGAATAAATCTGATTCTTGACACACACACTGACTCGCTATGGAATAATTGTGATTATTACCAGAGTTTCAAACAAAATCTCTGATGTCTGTAAATAATGCCAGGTAGCTACTTGAAGACCTGAGTTACATGACTGTCTAAACAGCTGGTGGACCCTGGTTTGTATTTGCTTTCTATAAGATGTTAGGCAGTAATACCTTTCCTCTACCTGCATAAATGGTGATTTTGAAATCAGAATTGATAATGGCATTTTAGGATTTTAGACAAAGTATCATCTATCCCTCCCCATTTTACAGAGGAAGAAAATAAAACGAGGACGTGTCGTTTGCCCACCCAAGGTCGCACAGTCAGTCAAAGACAAGATTAGAACCCAAATCCAGCTCCCTTGTTTCTTAATTAATGCTCTTTCCACTATACCACTACTTTATAAGTCTTGGAAGACAATTTATGTAAATTCAAGATGTTGTTATTCTTACAAGTAATCACTTGAAGCGTT